TCTTGAGCTGATATTAAAAAAGACCTCAGTGAAGTAAAGAAATAGGTTACATGATGATCTCAGCAGAAATATTCTAGATCTCAGTAGAAATATTCTAGGCAGGAAGAAGAGCAATCACAAAGTCCCTGAAGTAAGAAACCATCTTAGTATAAGAGAAGAAACCAGAAGGCCAGCGTGACTGGAAGCTCATATGAGAGGTAGAAGGGGTCATTTGGGGTGGGCACATGGTTGGAAACATGGAAAATACAAGAAAGTGGCCCACTTCATTCAATATTTTCATCAGCGTTCAGGCTGTTATCTTTATTAGTCTTTTAACAGGAAATAAGCACAGAGGCAGGAAGAAGGCACACGTTTTTGCAATAGTTCATGTGAGAAACAGTGGTAGCTTGATTTAGGGTCCCAGGAGTGGAAAGATTTGAAGTACCCAGACTTGGAATGTATTTTGAATATAAAGTTAAGAGGATTTTATGATGAATTCAATGCTGGGTTAAAGGAAAAGGAAAATTGAGGATAAAGTCTAGCAGTTGGCTTTGATGAATAAGTAACTGCATGAATGATGGAAAGCTAGGGGAAATATTGTTGAAGGAGGTATCAAGAGTCAATTATCATACATATTAAGTCTGAGATGCCTCAGACACTGAAGCAAAGATTTCAAGTAAGAAAAATCAGATACATGAGTCTGGAAAAGGGGAGGCAATTGACAAAAATTTGGGAGTCCTCAGCTTTCAGGTGACACTTATAGGTCGGCATAGTATAGCCTGGAGAGTGAGTCTGGGTAGATTCCAACAGGCATCATCTAGGAAGACCTACATTGACATCAGAGAGGAACTCCCAGTGAGGTAATATTAAGAGCAGGAAAGTACCACAACCTAGAAACCCAAAGGGAACAGCATCCTTCAGGAAGAGGAAGTAATCAACTATTTCAAAAAATGAACAGTCCATGAAGACAGTTTTTTAAAATCATCTGCAGAACAATGATAGAACAAAAACCTTACTGAAGGAAACTACTCAAAAGCTTATTGGCTTTTGTATTTTAAATGGTTACACTACATATATGCATTTAATATTATATAACAAAAATCAGAACATGTTGGATGGGTATTTAACAAACATTGTTGAATGAAATAAGGATGCCTCAGAACACGATTTCAAGAATTTCATTTGCATAACTTCCTAAACAGGTAGATCCAAAAAACATATGGTGGGTAGTAAAACTACAGATAAAAGAAATGGAGTAATTAAACATGAAATTCAGAATAGAGGTTTTCTGTAAGATAACCTCTTATATCAGACAGGGGTTCATGGCCCCTAGTTTTAAATTCCTGGTAAAGCTGAATTTCTCACAGAGGTGGTGGTGTTTGTTTAGTATGAACTGCATATATACATTTTGTCCACTGTTTTCTGGTAGAATTTGTTTCATAATTCAAATATTTAAAGGAAGTGAAAAAATCAATATGTTCTTATATTTATAAAAATATGGTGCAAACAATCAGCAGTATGCTATTGGAAAGTCAATATAGAAACAGATTTGAATAAACAGGCATTATAAGAATAAGAAGTAAATTCACAGTGTTTCTTGAACTTGTGTACTCTGAGCTATTGCACAAATATATAGATGATTAGCATCTGTTTTCAAATTTGGTTTAAAACATAGATGATTAGAATCTGTTTTCAAATTTGGTTCAGCTATAGGCCTATTTAATGGAAGCATAACTAGAATGGGTGATCTTTTCATTATTTCAAGTAATTATGATGGAAAATTCCTTCTTTATATCATCAAGACTTAAATATTGGGGAATACATGCTGCCTGTATTTATGTATATG